GTCAGCACATGCTTCAGTGCTCTGAGAGTGTTTATAGTGCTGTGAGTTTAACACTTCATGACTGAGAGCAGAACAGAACACAATCTTCATCATCACACAAGACACAACAACAACAATGAACAACATCATCATCCTCATCTGGACACTGACGCTCTGCATTCAGGGTAAATATTTTGTACTTAATAACATTGCACACATCTTATGTACAGTCCAATAACCACTAAATTAATCAAATGTATTATTTCAGAGATCTGGGGACAAGTGACAGTGACTCAGAATCCAGAAATAGAATCCATCAAACAAGGAGAAACTGTTACGATCAGATGTAAAACCAGTCAGCCAGAGATCTGGGGCCAAGTGACAGTGACTCAGAATCCAGAAATAGAATCCATCAAACAAGGAGAAACTGTTACGATCAGCTGTAAAACCAGTCAGCCGATTTCTGGCTGTAGTGACTGTGTGTCTTGGTATCAGCAGAAACCTGGAGAAGCTCCTAAACTTCTCATATATTACACAAGCAGCCTCCAGTCAGGAACTCCATCTAGATTCAGTGGCAGTGGATCTAGCTACGGAAGTGATTTCTCTCTCACCATCAGTGGAGTCCAGACTGAAGATACAGGAGATTATTACTGTATGAGTTACCACAGCATCAACAGTAAATATGTGTTCACACAGTGATAAAGAGTCGTACAAAAACCTCCGTCAGTCAGAGTCACAGTGACTGCACTGATACAGCTGAGAGACACTGCAGCTGCTGATGAGAGGATCACAAACAACACAATGACACAGTATATTAAACTTTTCAGAGACTATTTATTTATATTATATAGTTGTGAAGCATTAGGCTGAGCACAATGGTCTGAACATGCAGAAATGTATTAGGAGAAACAACAAGGAGAATGTAGAGAGTAGTCAAAACCAGGTGATGGTCAAAAACAAGGCAAACAGGCAGAGAAGCAAACGACATGTAGGGGCCGTGTAAGATCAGAATCCAAAGATTACAAAATCTAGAGTCATAATACCAAGAGTGTATCCAAATACACCACCCAGAATTACAGTGTGAAACAAGCAACACTTCACACTGAGTGAACACGAGGTCAGCTATTAAATAGGCCAGTCTAATGAGGCTGATGAGAAACACTTGAGAACAATCAGGGTTCAGGTGAGTGTGACGTCTGGTGGTGGAGTTAAGAAGTGACAAACATGTGGCAATACCAAGGAAATATAATATAATTCTACTGTATATCACTTACTAGATTTCACATTGTCTAGAAGAAAAATAAATGTGTGGTGCTTATTCATGCAAAACTTGCCATCACAATGTAAACAATTTTCCAAGATTTCCCTTGTCTTTATAATATTTCAATGTCTGGATTTGACTGGAGCTCTGAGGGATTCAGAGTAAGTTTTGTTAAGTAGGAAAATCATCAGTCCTGAACAAACACATTATTATAACAGACTCATTGACTCATGATCGAGTCTCACCAGTAACTTATTGTCTGACTAATCTGATTCTCTCATCTGGCTTTCACACACAACTTCAGAATGGCTGGGTTTAGCTAATCATTCAAAATAATAATAATAAAAAAATAATAATAAATAATAAAAAAAACATTCATCACTAAGTATTAAAGCTTCAAATATTGTGTAGAACATAAACATACATGAAGAAATTCCTCTGTGGTCTGAGACTGACAGCTGCCTGCATTACCGCGGGAAGTAGGGGTGCTGAGGGTGCGGTGTTAAAAATAAATGAATGAACAATATGTAATAAAAA